ACATATTATATATTATATTTATATATATTTTATATATTATATATTATATTTATATATATTTTATATTTTATATTTATACATTTTATATATTATATTTTTATATTTTTTTGTATTATATATTATATATTATATTCATATATTTTATATATTATATATTTATATATTATATTTATATATTTTATATTTTACACCTTTTTTATAGTTGGCCGATTGATTAACGAAGTAATCACGAACGATTTCCCGTTACTCTACTCAACAACAACTACAACAACAACTACAACAACAACTACAATAATATTAATAAGAATCAGTAATAGTAGAAATTAATAATATTCATCAATAACAATGTCAACAACAAAAATAACGAAGAACGTTAGCGGGAAAACGAAGATGATACCACCGGACGGGGGGTGGGGTTGGGTTGTATTAACCTCAGCCCTTACAGTAAATTTCCTCATCCCTGGAACCGTCAAATCCTTTGGCGTTCTCTTCGTCGAATTCCTTCACGTTTTCAAAGCATCGCCGACAGCAGCATCCTGGATGCCGGCACTTTGTTATTTTCTTTATAATTCATTGGGTAAGTTGATTCATTATTTATCAGATAAACTTTGATCTATTTGCATAAATTATAAAACACTTTCAATTAAATTGATATAACTAACAACACACCTTTGGAATTAAATTTATAAAATTATGCGTGAATGTATGACTTTTATTTATTATGTTGATGTTATCTTTGTTTGATAATAGGTCCCTTGTCGAGTATTCTATCAACCAAGTATTCTTACAAAGCCGTGACATTAATTGGTGGCGCATTTGCTGCTACTGGAATGATGCTTAGTTATTTTGCTAATTCAGTATCTTATCTTTACGTCAGGTGAGTAGTAGTAGAAGAATAAGAAGAAAACAACAAAAAATTACAATTTACATATATTATTTTTGTATGTGTATAAATATAGAACATGCACGTGTGTATACATGTGTACACGTACGAATAACATAATATATTATTATGAATTTATTTTTGTGTTTTTTTTTGTAGTTATGGTCTAATGGTTGGAATCGGTGCTGGTTTATCATTTCCACCGACGGTTTATATCGTCACTGCGTACTTCCAAAGATTACGTGGTTTTGCCAATGGCCTTTGCATTTCCGGGAGCGCGATCGGGACTATAGTATTACCACCACTTCTTCAATATCTTCTTGACTGTTTTGGATATAGGTGAGTTGTGAAAGGATACAAAAAAAAAAAACAAATAAAATATCAAGAGGGAAGAGATAGAATCACGTTAGAAAGTCGAACGATGCACTTAGATGATCAGAAAATAGCATCCGATGTAATAATTGAGCAGTAGTAGTTTGCTAGCTTACTCGTTCGCATAAATGCGAATATAATTGCTAGAGTTAGTCGTTTAAAACATTTATTATTTCTAAGACATCTTAATGGTATAATAGTGATGTCATTAAATAAACGAATGGATCATATTTCATGTTTCTATTCGGGGCCCAAAGAATTGTGCAAAAGAAAACTTTTTATATATAATTAACTTTGTGCATATTTTTATTTTATATTTCTTATATATTTTTATTTTTATTTTTATTTTTATTTATATTTTTATTGATTAAAAAGAACATCAACGATAGCTTTTTGTTTCTTTCATTATTCCAGAGGCGCCGTGCTTATTATGGGTGCTTTAACATTGAACACACTCGTCTGTGCATTACTTTATCATCCCGTTGAACAACACATGATTGCAGTACCCATTGAAGAAGGTATCGATAACGATGCATTAAGTTTGGACGAACCTATCGAAGAGAAACATCAATCCATCGAACCGGCAAAATTGAATTACATCGTTCAAGATGAGAAATTAGAAAAATTGGATAATACGACTAAACAGGTGCAAAATTTAACAGAATTGTTGACTATGTCAAACAAAAAAGATGAAGAAGTAGAAGAAGGATCTGAATTGAGCAAATCGAACGAGAAAGAAGAAAGGAAACAGGATCAATGGATAGTCAAGGATCAAATAATGGATATTGGTAACGAAGAAGAAGGTGACAAGGTGCAAAGGAATGTTCAACAAAAATCCGAAGAAAAAGAGGAAGACGTTAAAGAGACTACGAGTAGGAACGATGGAAAGGTTGTTGATAAAAAACAACTAATCACCAATGAACCGTTCAATTCTCGTCAAATGAATACAATGTCGGATAACGGTTCTTCTAACGTATTAGGATTATCGATAAAGATGCATCTACATGAAGACAACGAGTCCGTGAAATTGGACAAACCCGTGCAAGTAGAAATGTCAACGTTTAAGTCATCCAAATTGGAAATTTCATCGACGAAGGAAAAAAGTAAAAAGAAGAAAGTTGAATTACAATTTGATTTCAGTATGTTAAAGGATCCGATATATCTGGTCATTTTAATTTCAAACTCAACGTCGGCTATCAGCAATACAAACTTTATGATACATTTGCCGTCATATGCCAATTCGCAAGGATTCGATCAAAATTCATCGGCCCTATTGTTGTCGGTTGTTTCGGCACTTGATTTGATCGGTAGAATAAGTGGTGCTTCATTGTCAGACATTGACTTCGTACCGAAATATTATTATTTCGTTGGTGGTCTTGGTACCAGTGGGATTGCATTAGCTTTATTACCAATGGCCGACAGTTATGGGATGCTATCATTCTTCTGTGCACTATTTGGTCTCTCTTCCGGCATGTACATTGGCATCACTACCGTTATCCTAGCTGACATGCTTGGTACCGAGAAACTAAGTTCCTCATATGGAATCTCGCTGTTCGTTAACGGTGTCCTACAACTAATCGGACCACCTATTTGCGGTGTCGTATTCGAACACGTTGGTTCTTACAAACCAATTTTTTTGGCATTCGGTATTATACTTATACTGGGTACTGCTCTTTGGGCTTTGGTACCTTTGATAAAAAGGAACAGTAAAAAGAAACTCGAAAAGGTATAACGATTATAATAAAAGTGTGTTATGTTATACGAACTGATAGAACATTCTAGCGAATGAGAAGGTTACTGATTATGATTAGATGTTTTCATTAATCATTCGTTCGTGCAATTTTTGTGATTTACATCATTCCAAGGAAAAGTATATACAAAAATATGTTCGTAGTTAAAATGAATAAAAAAAAAAAAAACAACAACAACATATGCAGGGACTACGTAAGCGTAATTAATATTACAATTTACATATATATATATATAGATAACTCTCACAAGAATGTTGTGAGCATGTCACTCTCAATATTTGTTAGAGATGTGTGTATGCTCGTAATCAGTATTTAGCGAATTAGAATTCACGCGAAGAATCGTTTTATATTTTCGTTAATGTTTAATTACGAAAAAAAGCGATTTCACAATCACAACGTGCGATTTCATTTTGAATTATCGTCATATTATAGTCATTCATTGATCATTGCAAGTGGTGGACTGCCCGTCTAACGTGACAAAAACATAATACAATTTTTCTAAGAACCAATGTTAGTGTTTATGCGTTTCCAAATATAATTACAAGAATTTATATCAGGCGAATCGTCGATGTATTATTTTCTGTCGTTCGTAATTATGAGATTGTTTTTTTTTTTTTTAATATTTTTTTTATGATTTAATTTTTACGAAAGATACGTCGAGCTGATATTTTGCTCTGACATTAATAGTATAGTATATTCATAGTATCTTTAATCTAATTAATTAGTTACTTATAGATTTCTGAAATGAATGTTTTAATTATAAAAAATTAGGTGACATAAATTTCCATAGAAATGTGTTACTCAAAAAGTGAAACAAAATCTCGGTTGCAACATGTTGTTGTTAAAATAAAAAAAGAAACAAAGGAACAAATATTTAGAGATTATAAAAAAAAAAATAAAAATAAAAATAAATTTTCTTTAACGTTCGACGATTTTATTTGTTTTGTTTATACATTAACGATTCACACAGATGCTCCGAATTTTCTGGGTATTCGTAAATATCTAGTCACGCCTGTGCGAATGTACAAAATGCTGCTGCACGCGCGAGCTACCTAAAAATATTTCTTAATTACTGTTAAAAAAAAAAAAAAAAGGCAAAGAAAAAGGGGAGAAGAGAGAGAGAAAAAAAAGAAAAATAAAAAAAAGATAAATCTCATCGATGAGTGAAAACGCGTGGGAGAAAAAGGTGTGTTTAAAAAAAGAAGAAGAAGAAGAAGAAAAAAAGAAAAAAAAAGAAAAAAGAAGACGTATAACGCGTACGTGAACTCGACACTGTGAGTGCTGAAGCTAAAAAAAAAAGGGGCGTATTTGTTCATAAATAGTTCTTCGCACTTGGATTATTCGCTTATCTGGTAAAAGAGTATCCGAGATGATATTGTGTATGTTTAATATAGCGTTGTGTGACGAGATATATGAGAGAAAAAGAGAAAGAGAGAAAGAGAGAAAGAGAGAGAGAGAGAGAGAGAGATTATGCGTTCGAATAATATAATAATTCATTAATAATTATTTCTTTATTTCCGAAGCGCTTATCTATCTTGCTTTAATTATTATTATTATTATTTAGACACGCAATTGCCATCTCAATGATTACAAATATAGTTATATGATAATTTTGTCTTTTTGTAATAAAATAAATAAAATAATATGTCAAAGAAAGTAAAAAAAAAAGAAAGAGAGAGAAGTATTAAAAAAATAGAATGGAAAAAAAAAAAATTTTTGGTATACTTTTCATGATACTTTAAATATGCCGTCTACCTCAAACATTATTCATCAACATCATTTTTAAACCCACTTACATGACGTAAAACCAACCTACACACGTATAATCATATGTGATAGAATTATAGAACATTGGTTGACATTTTGAACAGTATTGTCAATGAAAAGTATGACTACTGTAAGTAGAATAGCATATTCGGCATGTCTAACCATTACCGTCGGCTGTTTCTATATTCTGACTACTTAAATCTCAGTCTGATCATTTTCGGTACTTACTACTGCGAAACATTCAATTCCTTCCTATTTTAGATCGGATCATCACTAAATCAGATTTGTTTAAGGAAGTTTTATTACGAAATGGAGAGTAATAATATAATTACAATATTAAAGTTCAACTTTTATCATTATTTATAAAAATATTTGATTTGCAAACATTTTTTCAAGTGTTTTATTATTTACTTTCTTTGTAATTATTATAAAAATGCGCGCGCCTGTATGAATGCAACCCTCCAGACACGCTTTGAAAATGTTGCTTGCGAGCGCCACCTGGACGGACGTAATTTTTTTTCTGCCCGAAAGATAGGCAACCTGTCATACGTTCGTGTATGAACAGTTTCGACTGCAAATAAGTTCCGTCCCAGTAGATGGCGCTCGCAAGAAACATTTTCAAAGTGTGTCTGGAGGGTTGCATACGAACAGGCGCACATTTTCATTAATTAAATTAATTAATTAAATAATTACAAATTAAAAATACAAATAATATTATTATAATACTATATAATAAATTATCCTTGAAACTTGTTTATTTGAAGGTTTTACTTCTAACTTGTGTGATATGCACACATGTTTTTTTTTTGTTTTAAATGATAAATTGAAAAATTTATTATTGAATTACACAGAATCATTAAGATAAAGAAGTTTTAATGTAATATCATTCTAATAAGCATATAACTACTGTACATTTGATATAATTGTTCTAATAATTTATGACTTATTTTATTACGCTATTTCTAACAGTTTTTTTTATGATATAATAATAATAATAATAATATCATTGCTTTTTTTCTACAAGCTTACAAATAAATCTTAATGAAAAAACTTTAGAGTATCATCTAGATTATCTATAAATACATTTTGGTTTGTATATTTTTGGTGAAAATTTTTTTTTTCTATTCGTAGTATAGAATATATATATAGTAATTCAATTAATAAATACAATAATAAGAAAATAGTAGTATGACGAATACTTTTAAACATATATATATATAGTTTTGTTTTCTCTTTGTGTTAAGTCTTTTTTTTTTATATAAGAGCATAATTATTACAAACATATATATATATATATATATATATATATATAATTACGTAGAAATATAATACGTACGTATTTACGTATAAATACGTAATTTAAATAATTATGCTCGTTTAATAAAATCGTCAAGTTGATTTATTTATTTTTTTCTTTTTTCTTTCTTATTTTTTTCTTTTATCGATACATGCTGATTTGTTGATTGAACATTTATCGAGGAACAATATTATCATTTTTTATTTGCTTGCATAAATTCGAAGATTCATATCAATTGCATTAAATGATAATATCTAATAGAAGAGAAGGGGGATCTTAAGTTAAACTTACGTGATTAACGATTAGAAAATGATTCTTGCGCTTTTCATTTTCTTTTTTTTTTCTTTCTTCTTTTCAATTTTCTATATGATACGATATTTTTCAAAGATCATTGAATGATTGATTACGAGACTGTCGTATCTCTGCGACCGGTGAAAGATACGATTGATCGAATACCCTTTACCGATGTCTGCAATCAAATAGATTTAAAAAAAAACAATCAATTAGAATTCATTGTGTAGAAATGAATTGTCAGCGGGAAGAGGTTTTTTTTTTCCTTACCTTCTTCTTCGAACCGTTGAGGAAATCTTTGTACATCTCGGAACGAAGATATCTCGAATAACTATCGCTTTTCATTAAATGATAAACGTGTGCCTAAGAGGAAAAATTATTGTACGTTTATTTTTTATTTGTTCTTTCTTTTTCTAATAATATAAAAATATAATTTTTGCATGACATACAAAATATTAGATTATCCGAAATGTTTCGCACTAATTTACATATTATTTTAATATATGAAATATATTTTGATTTATTATTAAAATTAAATTTCATTTAAAAATTGTTTATTATTAAAAATAATAATATTAATAAAATATAAAATAATAATAATAATAATAATAATATAAAATAATAATTATTATTATTATTAAAATTAAAGAAATTTTCGGGAAATTAAATATAATTTTGATAAAATATATCAAAAAATTCGCATTAATTTAATTAAAAAAATATTTTGATTTATTATTAAAATAAAAATAAAGAAATTTTTATTATAGAGTTTTCGGAAAATCCAATATTGAAATCGTGAATAATAAATTAGTACAAAATAATACCGCAGCTATGTCGAAACACCAACGATCAGGTTTTTCAAGATTTCTTTTTGTTATTTCGAAGGATCTGGAATCGACGTTGATTGGACAGCTCGCATCTGGGCATAAAAATTCGTTCCAAATTTCTCCAGCCTTAACGTTAACATCTTTCTGCGGGAAAGTTTTCAATTCCTGTACGGTTTCCCAAAATCTGCACAGAGCAGAAAAATTCTTGTCTGCTTGATACGCATTCATTTTCGTAACAAAATAATACAAACAACATCCACACATATTTTAAAATTCTTACTTGAGATTTTCACTGCTGAATTCTTTTTCCAAAAATCGTATAAATTGTTCTCTACCAATAGGATCTTGTAACAATTCTTGAAGACCAAACGCCCATCTTTTGACTCTTCTCGTAGACACTTCTTTCCTATTTAAACAAACAATATATAAACTCTTAAATTTGTTTTATTCTATTTAATAATCATTATTTACAGGATAATATTAGAAGGGATTTGAAAGAAATAGGATACGAAGACGAAATATGGCGAATGGAAGAATCGCGCTCAGGGACGGGAACAATGGCGGGATTCGGTATTTGCGGCAATGAACTTTCCAGTTCCTAATGCCAATTAATAATAATAATAATAATCATTATTTATAAGAACAATATTTACGCTATTTTTTCTTGTTCCCACATTTCCGAACTATCCGATACCCATGGATTGGTAAACTCAGGTTGTGTAAAAAATGGATCATACTCGGCATACTGTTCGAAATATCCTATAAGACTGAAATATCAAATTGTAAATAAATTAATAACATTGTTTAAATATTGAAAAGAAAAAAACATCTTGGATCTAATTCGTTGTCACAAAGGGAAATTAATTCAAAGTATATTTTAACTTACGCTTCCGCAACTTTGGATACTTTGATGTTTCTTCTATCCAATCTATCTTTCAACATGTCAATCTCCTTTTGCAAAGATTCTATCGAAGCTGCTAAATAAGATTCCGAATGAGGAGAAGCCTTTTCACCATGTTTCAAATATTTGCTCGATCTGAAGTTTGGTTTTTGACTGCGGCATTCTTTTTTGATATCGAGTTCCGTTGTATTTACACAACCAGGCTGTAATCATAATGTTATATTATGATTTCATTGAATTATAAAATAATATTGATAAATATTGTTTGATCGATACTACTACAAATGATTTTCATTTCAATTGATTTATTTTTCAAAATATTTTATTGTTGTTGTTGTTGTTGTTTAAAATTATTTACCATCGGCCGATGTACATCCCAGAATGCCCTTTCCTGACTATCCAACACTTTCCTTTCCAATTTATCCCTCTTTTTATCGACTTTGCTTTGTGCTTCCGCTTGCATAAAAATGAACTCCCACTTTCGTGAAAATATTTTTTGCAACCTAGCTAAATTCTCGGCCTCGTAATCAGCCAATTCAAGACGAGTTTTATTCTGCATCGTTCTTTTGCATAAATAAACGGCTACGAATTGAGAAAGAGAGAGAGACAGAGAGAAAGAGAAAAAGAGAAAAAATATTTGGAATATTATTTAATTTACTCTTTTTTTTTTTTTTTTTTTTTTATCAAATATCAAAAAATTGTAACATCATGACAAATATAATAAATATATATGTATATGTATATATGTATATATATATTTCTTTTACCGTAATCGGTATTTTCTGGTTCCCAAGAATTAGATGGCCAAAAATAAGGCGTTTGAAATCTATAAAATGTGTTGTCATTTTTAACGGTAAGACAATGATCGTCAATGGGGAAAAAATAACCATGACATGCCATGAGATGTGCCACGTGAAGAGATTCTATATTTAAACATGACGAGATAATAATTAACAAAATATTTTTTTAATGAGATTTGCATATATATATATATTTATATTATATACTACTACAATATGTATATTTATAGACCTTGATCATCAATATCCATAGTTTTCATCATCCACGATATCAAATCGGTACCTAAAAATTATCGTCAAAATCAAAAAAAAAACCCCATGTCTAACAAAATCTACAAATCTTTTTTTCTTTTTCTTTTCTTTTTTTTACCTGTAAAAACGGATGGAGTTTTGGTCATAAAACTTTTAACTGTTTTTACAGGAACACCTGTAGATTCGTTTAACATTTTTTCAACCAATGATTCCATCTAAAATGAACGTAAATCATTTACAAATTTCAATTAAACTAATATTTTGTTCGTAAATGCATGAGAAGAAGTTAACAAAGAAAAAAAAAAAAGAAAAAAAAATTGTTTACAATTCTTTAACACGAATTTTAAACGAAAAATTTAGATTCTAGAAAAATCGATTGGTTAAAATGAGACAGACACAAAAAACAAAACAAAAATCAAGAAAAATATGTTGAGATATATGAGATACCTTTTTATAGACGAGATAATTTGGTGTATCTTCAGCGCAACAGGCAGTGACACGATGCGTGGGTGTATTATGTTTTTCAACATTCTCCTCCTCGGTACGATTATTATCTTCCCTTTCTCCAATTTGATCGGAAGATTCTCTCGTATCGTTATTTTCTATTGGTTTTCGGCGGGATGCCGATTTTTCGGAGCTCATAGTTACCATATTATACGTGTTAAGATGATACAATCTAATACATTGACAATCTTTTATAAAATAATACCGAATTTTAACAAATACCGAACACACAAATTATTTCTAAATATTTCATTTAATAAAATCTAATTTCATAGTAAAATAATAATAATTATAATAATAATAATAAAAATAAAATAATAACAAATATTTGTTAATTTTATTTCTAAGAATTGTTTTGTTATTATTATCAATACTAACGATATATAAATATTTTATTTAATAAAATCTAATTTCACAGTAAAATAATAATAATAATAATAATAATAATAATAATAATAATAATAATAATAATAACAAATATTTATTAATTTTATTTTTAAGAATTGTTTTGTTATTATCAATACTAACGATATATAAATATTTTATTTAATAAAATCTAATTTCACAGTAAAATAATAATAATAATAATAATAATAATAAAATAATGACAAATATTTATTAATTTTATTTTTAAGAATTGTTTTGTTATTATTATCAATACTAACGATTCGTGATATAAAACACAGTAGTGTTAGTATAGTGGCTCGTAGTTTCACCGCGCGCGCATTGCAGTCGTCGAAGGATTTTTCTCGTAGAGAGAGAAAAAAAAAAAAGAATATAAGGCTCGACTTTTCTTCTTCTTCTTCTTTTTCTTTTTTTTTTGTTATTAGTATATTTTTACTTTTTCCTTCCTACTCGACTTTAACCGTAGTTCGATAAAACGATATGATCGATCTTCCAATAAGACGCATTTGAAAACTTCGCATCATCGTTATTCTCGTAATCCTTGATTTCAACGATTTTCTCATTTTCTCCATTCTCACGGATTTTTTTTTTTTTTTTGCACCTCGGTATTGAGAAAACAATAGAATAGCGTCACCAGCAAACCCTGTTGTAAAAGAAATTTTTTTTTTTTTTTTTGTATTTTCTTCTTTTTCAACACACCGATAATACCAAAGATCCTGTTGATTCTAGGTCACCACATAGGAGGAAATAATTAAACGTAATCTTATTCGTTGTTACATTGAACGGAATTAGAAACACGCAAACAACGTTACGATTAACACTAGATTTACGGATGTTTTGTTCATTATTTTTTAATGACGTAATAACATTGTTTGAATAAAGGATTGAGTAAAGGAATTGAACTAATATTTACGTATATTTCATTACGTAACTAAAAACCAATAAGTTTTCAAAAAATAGTATTTAAATTTTATAAATATATAAAATAATCAAATGTTCAATGAGTCAAATTGGCTCAATTCGTAAATCTAGTGTTAAGTATATAATGCAAGCACGAGAAAAAAAATACAAAATTAAATGATTATAATAAAATGAACTCTTAATATACATACATATATATATAAATAAATAAATATTTCTCAAAGTATACTGAATCTTTTCAGTATATAACGTTAAACAACAACGTGCGAACTAGTATGCGTTAAATGGGGTGAATAACACGAGGGATGAACTAAACAGATAACTCTAATTAGAGTTAACTAATCAATTAACCGAACTAATATGCATTTGACCGAAAGACAAGATAAAAATAAAAAATATAAAAGAAGTATGTGGAATAGTAGTAGTCGATTGTACGAACGTCAAAATCGAACTCCTGGGTTTGTCTCTGGTGATCACGAACACGATGTGATGCGCGTTCACTTTGCGACTGCGTGCTTTTCCTACGAACAACGACGACGAAGCAAAACTGCTGCTAACACTTGTGTAAATGTGTAAGAGTAGGAAACGTAGGAAACAGGGGATCCCAAGTGGCACGGATATCGGCCCTTTACACGACGCTCCTCTCCTCAACTTACTACCTCAACCTACTACCACCTATTATCGATCACTTTTACAAGGCCAAATCATCTTCGAAATCCTTCGACCTATTTCTGTCTTAGAATTTTTCAAATTACTTTCTATATGCTCTTCTTTTCTCCCTCTTACTTTCTTTCTTTCTTTCATATCTTAGTTTATTCATCAAATTCTATTAATACATTGTATGCGAAATATAATACATATATTTTTTTCTAAGATACATTTTTCAATTATTGACTAATATTCAAGATAGATATATTTATAATGGTATCACGCATTAATCATAATTTCAAATATTATATACAAAAGAATTCTATTTGAAATTTTATTCGAATGCTTCAGTTTAAGTCAAAAATAAGTCCGCATACAATGTATTATTGTGTTTTGTATTATATTTTTATTTTTTTCTTTTCTTTTTTAAACGTTCAAAATTATTTCAATATTCATACAATATACAGAGATAGAGTTTGATTATAAAAAGTAACAAAATAAATCGAGCCAGTGCCATTAAGTCGCCTTTATTATCTTGCATCTTTGAATTCAATAAAATTCTCAAACTCAATTTTCTCTCCCTCTCTCTCCCTCTCTCCCTCTTTCGCTCGCATTTTACACATTATGTCATATATAATTCTGTTATATCATCTATTACATCGTGCGTCACGATTTTTCATTATAACATTTTCAAATCTTTTATTTGTTAATCCATTTTATTTATTTATTTATTTTTATTCTTAGCACATATCTTTATCTCTCACTCGTTCTTACTATTTCTTTCTCTCTGTCGCTCACGTTCTATCTTTCTTTCTCTTAGTACATACATGGTGTTAATTATAAACTTATTCCTAAAACGCACACGCACGCCTTCACGCACACACATATACGATTAAAGTAAATACAGAAACCAATGATTAACAATATTGTTCCCAATTCGTTTCTTTGAAACGTATTTGTTTTAAAGCGTAAATTTGGAACATTTGCGAACGGACAATAGACAATCCACGAAATTTGTTCTTTCAAAAATATATATACACATGTGTATTTTGAATAATAAATTGTGATCAAAAAGGGACAGATCATCATCATCATTATCTTCATCATTATCTTCATCATCGTCATCATCATCATACTATTGTTTCCACTAATTTTTGTATCTGCGTGGTGCGAGATTCATCACAGACATCATAACAAGTTATAGAACTTAAATATTACAAATATAGATGCCAACGAATCAATCCATCGTTAACTCATATTTTTTGTGTGTTTTTTTTCTCATTTGTACAACCCCAATTATCTGCTGAATAATAATTCACATTTGCATAATTCATATATATATATATATATATATATATATTTTATAGTGTACATATATACACACACATCCACTATTTCGATGAATACAATAATAACAATGGATAATATAAGGGTATCTAATTTACAAGCAAATGTGTAAATATTTCATAATGATATTTTATGCAATGTCAATTATTTTTTTTTTTTTCAATATCATCATCAGCAAAGAAAAAGAGGCTGCTGAAGAAAAAGAAAATTATTAAATATACATGTTCTCGTATAAAAAAAAAAAAAAAATTTTAAACAAAAAAAAGAAAAATAACAACAACATTGTAATAAAAATTCTTTTTCCCATTTGAGAGGAAAGAATTTTTATTTAAAAACAATATTTTCACATTTTAAAATATTAATATTTATATGATATCGTTTATGTAGTAAGTCATATTGTAAAATATTTCTATAGATTTATATTGTGTTGTTCCTTGTTTGTAGTAAAATCAAATTCCATTATGGCATATAATGCAATATTAATATTAAAAAGTATAAGAAAGTTTAATAATATGTTTTGTTTAAACTATATAAGCTCTAATCGCGTACGAAAGAGCAAAGTTTTCTTTTCTTTTCTTTT